TCACGCCGAACGTCGTGTACGTGGGCGGCATACATCTGAAACCCGCCAAAACCATACCAAAAGTAAGCGATTTTTAAATCCCGACCGCGCGTGTAAGGGCCGGGAGTTTAATCCTGTGAACATTGCGACCATCCGCGGTTTAATGTTCGTGRCAAAACAAAAATAATAATTGATTTTCATCAACAGTTCGTCTTACATCACAGGATTTGTCGGATGTTCCCAAATTGTTTTATTTTTGATAAAACGATTACCTATAATTGTATGCGAACAACCATTTTGAGCGAAGACAGTTGATCGACTTTAAATAATACTGAGTATATATTTTATGATATTATTGTAATTAAACTATTAAAGTAATTTATTTTGCTATCATATAAATTAAAGTCATTAGTAGGTAGGTGGTTACTACAGTTGGTTAAAATCATATTAAACAAAAATATTGCATTTGAAAATGTAATAATTGTGTGTATAAAATATATATAAACTATCTATATATATATAGGTACTCTAAAATTTTCAAGTATCCACAAATAATATTTTTGAATTGCAACAAAATTACTAAATAATTATTCTTGGTTTTAAAATATAATTTCATCCAAATTTGAACACTAAAAAATCTGTAAAAAATAACCGTGTTCATGTTTTTTTWATTTTTTTGAATTTTTGGTTACAGTATATTATGAACTATTTATGAAAATTCTGGTTTTATATTTTCAATCTAATTAGATATAAACATTGAACATCTATTGTAACTAAATTTAAAATGCTCAAAACGAACCAAAATATTTGCATAAATAATAAATAGACATCTGATTAAAATGTCAATTACCTTCCTAAATTTTCTAATTTCTTTTGAATAATCGAAAGTGGCCTATACTTACCTCACTGTAATATTTTTGTACTTATTATGATGTTAAATACCGAAGACTAATCATCGTGTACACAATTTTTATGAATTCTGGGTAAAAAATACACACCTACCTCTATAATATTTATCTATATATTATAATGAAATATATTATTATCTATTACACAATAATTAGCTGTCGAAAAATTAATCATGAAATATTAACATAAATTTGCTACACTCAACTTATTATGGATATGATATGATATGATTACAAACGCCGAAAGACAAATTATCGACAGGTTAAAATGTCGACGATTGAAACACGATTATTAACCACCAATATGTTGCATAACAATAATATAATATTAGTTATAGTTAAATAAAATTATTAGATAAAGTAAAAATGACTATTTAATCAGAAACGAAAAAATAGAAAAATGTATGCTTAAATGCAAGATATAATTTAATTGATTATGAATAAATTACAATAGGAAGGTTTTTTCGCTTAACCATGTATGATGAAGTAACAAATAATTGTCCATTTTACATAAAATACCTATTTATAATACGAAAGGGCGAAAGGATGAAAAACATATAATTAGGTAACTGTGTATAATTTTTAGATGCAAAATTTATTCGTGTTCAAATATACTTACGAATATTAGAAACAATTAAAACAATTTTTTGCAAAACGGATATTTGATTTTCTTTAGTCGGTAATAAATTTACTGGAAATAATAATAATATACACACATGAATTACAATGATTAATTAAKCAAAATTATTATGTTCGATTCAAGGACATATTAGATTTTATAGAAGATTCGCCACAAGGAGTGATTTTCTTAACGTTCGGTTCCACGATTAAAGTGTCGTCGTTTCCAGAACATATCRAAAAGTCGTTTAAAGAAGCGTTGGCCGACATTCCTCAGAGAGTTTTGTGGAAGTACGAGGGTGAAATGAAGGACAAACCGAAAAACGTGATGACCAGGAAATGGTTTCCTCAACGAGAAATACTATGTAAGTACACTTTATRGACAGATAAACCTCGATCGTCTTWMGTTTCTGAAAAAAATTTCAAAAAATATAATATTTAATTACAGTACATCCCAAAGTGAAACTGTTTATCAGTCAYGGAGGTATGTCCGGAGTGTACGAAGCTGTGGATGGCGGGGTTCCCGTACTTGGAATTCCGGTTTTTTACGATCAACCGAGAAATATTGAACATTTGGTCCTGGCYGGAATGGCGAWATCCATGGACCTGTTGTCGACGACCAGAGAAAAACTGTCCAACGCCATTTCCGAACTCATCAACGACGAAAGGTAAGTCTTCGGTGATGCCTATCAACTATACGCGAACGGCACCTACCTATAGCTACCCTATACGGCTATACATTTGATTTCCACCACTCGTTTTTCAATAGTACCGATTTATACTTCARTGTGATTTATTAAATATTATCTATAATATTATGTTTTTYGTAATAGATACGCGAAAAACGCAAAAATTGCTTCGGACCGATTCAAAGACCGACCGATGACTCCGCAACAGACGGTCGTTTATTGGACGGAATATGTGATCCGTCACAAAGGCGCTCCACACTTGAGATCTCACGCTCTGAACCTCACGTGGTATCAGTACATATTGTTGGACGTAATGGCCGTTGTGTTGGTTTTTGTTTTCCTAGTCACATTCGTATTATTTAAGGTTTTCAAATGTATAAAAGGTTTTAGAAACGACAAAGTCAAGACTCAGTGAGTATAGTCAACGATCGTTGTGATAACAAATACTACACCATTACATACGGATAGTGTAGCAGTGTTTATCTATTACTATTATAATTTTTACTTTTARTATTGTTATTATATAAACTGTTATTACTATCGTTATTATATTATGTTTATGTTAGAATATCATKGTTGTTGTGTATAATCCGGTGATAAATGGATTACTAAAATAAACAAAATGTGCAATAGAAAATAGAAAAAATGTATCGATTAAACAATATAGTAAATATCAGGGGCGAAAAAAACTTCTARTTATCGAAAGTTCGACTTACAGAGGTTCGAGTTATCGAGGTTCTACTGTATTTTATTTAATTCCTTTAAAATTATTAAGAAGATCAAAAAAAAAAAAAAGAATGAATCGTTATTATAATAAAATTTAATAAAGACATTATTTTTTTTACCTATTGACTTAATTCATATCTCTTTTGTAATATTATGAACACTATAATAATATATTATACGGAGTTAAATTATTCAAAAAAATGAAACAGATTCAAGGACAAGCGCAAAAATAGATAGAAATCGCCTCGCATATTTATACATACCTATACTTACTATACTATTATGGAACGCACCATATTATAATAATGAAGTGGAAAAAAGTTTTGGTTTCGGCAATGGACTTGGTACGTATAATGGTTGGTTATAAACGTAATAGTCTTACGTTTTCTGTTTCATTCCTTCTTAAAACATGAATGAGTATAGTGTTGACATGGGCGTAATAATAATGTACGGCKATAATRTCCCAATATTTGAACGATCATTGCACAACTTTTCGGTTCGTTTGAAAGTAATGAAGCAATCGAACAGGCTTTGAAAACCAGTTTTAGCTAAACAAACGTGCGAACAGAAGTTATCAGACGTAATTATTGTTATTTCGCGTTTGATTGATAAATCGTAGTCGTAGGTACACTGCACAAATAACACTATTATTATACTGCTACGAAAATGGTTAAGGTCCATTTGAGTATGATGCAATAAATATTTTTAAATGTACTATAATGTTAGAATGCGCAAATTGTTTGAAATATTTAACTGCAGTTACCATCGATCATGTCACGATAACGCGCTAAACACTAAACAAGTCGCTGCTGTAGTTCGAGTCCGGAGCACTTGGCGCGCGCACTAACTCCTCGATAACTTGGAACATATACGCGTGGTGCCAACAATCGATAGCTGCTCGATACCGAGGCTGTTCGAAAACATCGTAACCGAACTGGACCGTAACTCACACACCGTATTACCAGTAAAGAAAATAAAACTTCGCATGGCGGCGATGAAAGGGTCGATCGCGATGGCCTCGCTGGTCTCGTGGCTGTCGGTGTGCACCATCATCCCGTTTGGCGACACTGCCCGAATATTGGCCGTCGAAACGGTGGCGGGCAAGAGTCACTGGTACTTCATGAGTTCGGTGCTCAGGTCGCTGACGGAAGCCGGACACACGGTGACTGTTTTCACACCGTTTCCGGACGGCAATCGGACCAACTACACGGAGGTGGACACGTCTCTCGAATTCCCGATGAAGCTCGACATGGACGTGATGCACATGATCCAGGAAATTAGCAATCCGATAACATTAATCAATATCGTATCCGGAACGATCCGATTCTACTGCGACGCGGTCTACGGCAACCGGAAGTTGGCCGACTTGATAGCTTCCGGGGTACGCGACCGGTACGACTTACTCATAATCGAGCCGTTAGGCATCGACTGCGTTTCGTACCTGGCYGACGCGCTCGGCCTGCCGGTGATCTACTCGATCCCGTCGCCGATGACCAACTTCTTGGAACGGTCGTTCACCGGTCACCTGTCCAACCCGGCTTCCGTTTCCAACATGTTGGCCGACCACGCCGTGCCCGGCACGTTCGTCCAGAGGTTGACCAACACGG